TTCATTAGCACTAGCATTACTATTATTATTTTCATTAGCACTAGCATTACTATTATTATTTTCATTAGCACTAGCATTACTATTATTATTTTCATTAGCACTAGCATTACTATTATTATTTTCATTAGCACTAGCATTACTATTATTATTTTCATTAGCACTAGCATTACTATTATTATTTTCATTAGCACTAGCATTACTATTATTATTTTCATTAGCACTAGCATTACTATTATTATTTTCATTAGCACTAGCATTACTATTATTATTTTCATTAGCACTAGCATTACTATTATTATTTTCATTAGCACTAGCATTACTATTATTATTTTCATTAGCACTAGCATTACTATTATTATTTTCATTAGCACTAGCATTACTATTATTATTTTCATTAGCACTAGCATTACTATTATTATTTTCATTAGCACTAGCATTACTATTATTATTTTCATTAGCACTAGCATTACTATTATTATTTTCATTAGCACTAGCATTACTATTATTATTTTCATTAGCACTAGCATTACTATTATTATTTTCATTAGCACTAGCATTACTATTATTATTTTCATTAGCACTAGCATTACTATTATTATTTTCATTAGCACTAGCATTACTATTATTATTTTCATTAGCACTAGCATTACTATTATTATTTTCATTAGCACTAGCATTACTATTATTATTTTCATTAGCACTAGCATTACTATTATTATTTTCATTAGCACTAGCATTACTATTATTATTTTCATTAGCACTAGCATTACTATTATTATTTTCATTAGCACTAGCATTACTATTATTATTTTCATTAGCACTAGCATTACTATTATTATTTTCATTAGCACTAGCATTACTATTATTATTTTCATTAGCACTAGCATTACTATTATTATTTTCATTAGCACTAGCATTACTATTATTATTTTCATTAGCACTAGCATTACTATTATTATTTTCATTAGCACTAGCATTACTATTATTATTTTCATTAGCACTAGCATTACTATTATTATTTTCATTAGCACTAGCATTACTATTATTATTTTCATTAGCACTAGCATTACTATTATTATTTTCATTAGCACTAGCATTACTATTATTATTTTCATTAGCACTAGCATTACTATTATTATTTTCATTAGCACTAGCATTACTATTATTATTTTCATTAGCACTAGCATTACTATTATTATTTTCATTAGCACTAGCATTACTATTATTATTTTCATTAGCACTAGCATTACTATTATTATTTTCATTAGCACTAGCATTACTATTATTATTTTCATTAGCACTAGCATTACTATTATTATTTTCATTAGCACTAGCATTACTATTATTATTTTCATTAGCACTAGCATTACTATTATTATTTTCATTAGCACTAGCATTACTATTATTATTTTCATTAGCACTAGCATTACTATTATTATTTTCATTAGCACTAGCATTACTATTATTATTTTCATTAGCACTAGCATTACTATTATTATTTTCATTAGCACTAGCATTACTATTATTATTTTCATTAGCACTAGCATTACTATTATTATTTTCATTAGCACTAGCATTACTATTATTATTTTCATTAGCACTAGCATTACTATTATTATTTTCATTAGCACTAGCATTACTATTATTATTTTCATTAGCACTAGCATTACTATTATTATTTTCATTAGCACTAGCATTACTATTATTATTTTCATTAGCACTAGCATTACTATTATTATTTTCATTAGCACTAGCATTACTATTATTATTTTCATTAGCACTAGCATTACTATTATTATTTTCATTAGCACTAGCATTACTATTATTATTTTCATTAGCACTAGCATTACTATTATTATTTTCATTAGCACTAGCATTACTATTATTATTTTCATTAGCACTAGCATTACTATTATTATTTTCATTAGCACTAGCATTACTATTATTATTTTCATTAGCACTAGCATTACTATTATTATTTTCATTAGCACTAGCATTACTATTATTATTTTCATTAGCACTAGCATTACTATTATTATTTTCATTAGCACTAGCATTACTATTATTATTTTCATTAGCACTAGCATTACTATTATTATTTTCATTAGCACTAGCATTACTATTATTATTTTCATTAGCACTAGCATTACTATTATTATTTTCATTAGCACTAGCATTACTATTATTATTTTCATTAGCACTAGCATTACTATTATTATTTTCATTAGCACTAGCATTACTATTATTATTTTCATTAGCACTAGCATTACTATTATTATTTTCATTAGCACTAGCATTACTATTATTATTTTCATTAGCACTAGCATTACTATTATTATTTTCATTAGCACTAGCATTACTATTATTATTTTCATTAGCACTAGCATTACTATTATTATTTTCATTAGCACTAGCATTACTATTATTATTTTCATTAGCACTAGCATTACTATTATTATTTTCATTAGCACTAGCATTACTATTATTATTTTCATTAGCACTAGCATTACTATTATTATTTTCATTAGCACTAGCATTACTATTATTATTTTCATTAGCACTAGCATTACTTTGTAGGGAAAGGTTACTGAATCATGGTGACAGATCCAGTACATTATATTTTTATTTACGAAATGGGAAATATTTTATATCAGATTTTATAGGATGTGGATACTGGAAGTTATGGAACAATATATAGTAAACAAAGTTGTCTCCTTTTAAAGTGAAAAGATGAGTTAAGCTTTATATAATATGTAATTAACAGTATTTTGGAGAGTTTTAGGATTGCTAACTCACATGTGACTGTTCAAATAGGTTAAAAAAATTGAACAATGAAAATGTATCTGGTGAATATTTTCTACTGGTGTTATTTTTATTACTGTTCTCAGTAATTATTATTAGGCATTATAGACCCTTGTCCAATCCACTTTGTCATGTCACATAGGATTCCATACCATTTTAACAAGGATTGATCCATCCACGATCATGCTTGGTACTGAACTGTGGTATGAGAGCCACACAAGTGCCCTGGCTTCTCCTGATCTTGCTGACCCAGCATAGAGCACAGTGGTGCCCTCATTTACAAGATATGTAGATTATCATTCTTATGTCCTTGTAAATCACAAGGCCTATCCCCTCCATAGGATCAACACCACACTCTGTAGCTTCAATAGAATGTGTTCCCCTAAACTGCCATTCCATCTACCATACAACCACTAGGAAAGCATTTCCATGGTGTACAATGGTCTTCTTGGGTCATGATTACCTGTAATATACCTTTCAAAGCCTACTACTACTATAAGTCTGGCTGTTGACAAAAGGTAACTAATGAAATTAATTGTAGTTAACAAAATCTTATTTATTAACTACTTTTATGCTATTTTTGCTAATGGACTAACTAATAATATACTATTCTTCATTATTACACTCACCATTCCATACATGAGTGTCCAAGATGAGGAAATTTAGAATTAGTATGTTGAATTATACTTTTATTTATCTTCCAAATCTCCTTTGTAATGTTAATAAAATATATGAACAAGTCTTTATAATCATTACCCAATAAAAATTATTTCCACAATAAAGGTATAAACAGACAAACAGAAAAAGAGGTTCCATTGAGGTATCAAATAAAACTCTCTCTCAATAGGAAACTTTATTGTGAATATCACAATCTGAGGTGAATTTCAAGGGACAGACAGTGGGACGGTCAGCCCTTGCCTCCCAGGGGATGTACATGCTGCCACATAGTGTCTACGCTAAGAGGTCATCTTGGTCGCACCACACAATATACTTTTCCGCTTTATTGCAGTGAGCCGATGACTAGACATTTGTACACCTATAATGACATTCTCACATTTTTTTTTTTTTTCTGTGAATCAGTGACTTGGATGTGCATGATATTTACTTCTATACAGTTTCTTTGTGCTTATTATTCCATAACTGAAGAGCAGGTCCATTCATAGAAGATAAAAGTATGTATGTCTATCAATTTAATAACAAATAAAAAGCAAACTTTTAGAAATACTAAAAAATTGCCATCTGAATCTTATATAAAAAGTGCATGAACATTTTATTGTTAAAGAGAATGTGACCACATACAAGAACATCACCAGGATAAAAGAAGCTTAGAGAACAACATATGAGTTAATCACCACTGTTGTTGTGAATGAGGTATGATTACGTACATTTTCAATATAGATGAGACTGAATATCAACAAGTTTTGTAGATAAATTGTACATTTCCAGCCTCTGGTTTTCTTGTCAATGTTTTATTTCAGGTAGAAATTTCTCATCTTAAAAAGTTACAATTGAATTGTAAAGTGTTTGAAGATTAATACTGTAAATTCCTTTGTACTTACAGTGATACATCCCAGTTGGAAATTCAAATACCTGTCAAAATCCCAAACTCTTATTTAATGAGCACTGGGCACAACAAAATCTTAGATGTCTAATTACACCAAAGGCAGTACTATGAAAAGCTATTACTTACTAATAAAGCATAAAGGATATTTTTTATCATTTTTTTTTAAGAAGAAACAAGCAGCACTGATACAACCTTCTCTGGCCTCAAGCGCAACCAGACCTTCTGTTCTTGTCGTGTATTTTCTTCTTTTTAAACTTCAGTCTCTCTGTTTCCAGCTCCATACATAACTGTGACTAGTTTTGCTATTATTACTTTATTTTTCTTTAAAAAAAAACATGGTCTTCTTATTATGATACCATCAAGAGAAATTAGACAAAAGGGTCAGCAACTTGGATGTAAACTATCATGAAAATTATTTTCATTTCAGCATTGCTATCAAAATGAAGAAGAAAAAAAAATTGTAACCCCTTCCACTCTTTTAGATGACTGAATAATAAACATCCTATTTTACATCATTGCTGCATGACCACGACCAAATGCATAACTATGAAAAAAAGTGAACTATGAGCATGATATATTATGATACACTGACTTAGTTATACATCAATTATCACACTGAATAAACCCTGACATCACTTATAAAAGAATCAATATTTTCTTCAACAATTCTTATGATTATAATGTTGAAAAAATTATCAAATGGGCATTATAGGTCACATATTACTAAACCACTTTATGATTTACTAAAAGCATTGGAATTCCAATAGTTGGCTCTAATTATGATGCAGATTATATTTGGTTAATCAAATTCCTGTTCTATTTACTATATACAAACTTCATAATATCAAAGAGGTTTAATTGTATGTAGCATTTTATCTACCCATTACATATACATAAATGAATCGCTCAATAACAATTTATATGATACAGTATATCAATTATGATTACTTACATTGGTCATATCTATCCACAGTCATTCAGATTCATCATTTAAGCTCTTGAATTCTTCTCTCTGAAAGTCGTCTTCCAACATCTGGTAGAAAGTCAAGTCTAAAGAGAGTGGCATGTAGCTATGTGCTGCACAAGCAAATATGAAGTGGAGAGCCAACAGCAGTGTGTACTATAATGTGTAGTGTTCTCAGTATCCTTCATTTACTCTGTTAACAGAACATCTTGCCAGATTTTTAAAAATTCAAGTATGTGACAGTTCTTTCTGAGATTTGGTAAATTATTCAGGACTGAGAAGTGAGAATTAATGGCCAAATCAACATGTTGCAGTAAGCATGTTATTGTGTCTAATATAGTGTTATAGCAATCAAATATATAGACTTTTCTCTTCTTTACAGTTTCTTCTATATTTTGTCGTTATTTCTATAGTATTTCTATTAGGTTCATATATTTGATACAACTTATTTAACATCCCAAGCATGTGACAATGCTTAAATGTCATTTCAAATCCAAACTGTAATTACACAATTTGCAATGTACTTTACAGAATACTGCCAGATTTAATGTATCACTCAAAGAGAGCTTGGCACTATTTTAAACTGGTGAAAAGTTATATTCCCAGAGTTATTTGTATATTGAGCTTTTCATGTAAAAGAGATGGCACTGGCTCCAACGTCTGGTGTACTGAACCACAAGTTATGTATCACAGTACATCATTACATTTCACTGATTACTGCAAATTGTTCATATCATGCCTTCGAGCATTAACAAATAAGACACACAAATTACCAATTTTACAGTGTCAGCATTTCTCCAAGAATGTAAGTTTATTAATTAAAACAAAAAAAAAGATATATCATCTTTGGTATTTCTAGCAATACATGGAAATGATTACATATAGTCTATGTAGATGATAAACTTTGAAATGACTATAAACCTCATTTGCTAACACATCTTGTACATGTACACCTTCAGCCATACCCTTGCAGAATAATGTGATACTCACTTCTCTTTATACAATAATATTCATTCCTTACATTCACAGCCTTACACACATACATGCATACATGTACTTCATATCAGTGTTCTTATCTGAACATGAACACGAACAGGTTTTCTCTTTTACTTACAAATTAAATTACCATTCATTAAAAAAAGAAGAGAAAAAAACATCTGACAATGCAAATATTATGAATATTATGACATTCCTGGTATCAAAACAACACCACAAATCCTGATGCATATGGTAGGCCATACCTTATACCAGGAACTATGGCTTAAAACCACAATGGTAAGCTGAGCAGTGTTTTGATGTGTTGTGTTCTCCAGTTTTGGCATACTGAGATCTCTCGAAGAAAATTTTACAACATTTATGCCACCTGCAACCCCATTCTTTAGTTTATTAAACTAATACCAGATTTCATTCAAGGTCCAACATTATTCCATTCCTCCTGCTGTCACATTGTCACTAAATACAATTAAACTTTTTTTTTTCTTAATGGAAAAATGAAGCAAGCTTTATCAGACTGAAGAAACTCTTATTTCTACTGGTCTTTGCTATTACAAAGTTCCCAATATCATAGATCATATCTCTATTAAAAATTAAAAGTAATATGAACACAAACCAAAAAAATAGAAAAAGAATAGTCATAGCAAAATTTTGTCTAAAAAGTGGATGTATTCACATGATGGTAAAACAGCTTTGTAAACCAACAGAGGGGAGATACATATTTAATAGCTTTAACAACAATGCTTGCTCATTGAAAGTTCTACTTCTCATTCATTTTTAATCTCTTAACTTTTACAAAACGAGTGTTTCTATAGATTTACGTATCTACTCCAATCCTAGACTCTGGTAATGTTGCACCACTGGCCTTCACTACTTTAGTGAGCCCAATACTAGCAAGAGAGGATAGGGGGATTTCCTTTAATGTATCATCAATACATTCTCTGTAAATGTCCTGTTAACCTAAAGGCTGCCAAAAGCTATGAACACATTGACAACATATAAGACACTGTCTTATAAACACACTCTCAATATAAAGTAATACATCTATCTAATGTGATGAGTTCTTTGACATCTTCCTTATACTTAAGGAACATCAAGTATTTAAAAATATTTACACATCCTTAGAATCTTTTCATCACAACCATAATGATTCCTGATTTTCCACTCCATAATCGTGTAAAAATCAAGCTTTCAAAGTCTCCTAACAACTGCATTTTCTGTTTTTCATAGCTGCCAATACATACTATAAGCTCCTTTACACTTGACCCACAACACTATCCTTTTCCTAAATATACATAAATGCTTAAAAAAATAATAAATAAAATAAAAAAGACAAAATTCCACTACACCTCTCTCCTCGTCATAGATACCAGTGTAAAATTTTCCTATTTACAATTTTTACATATTTCACACACGTTGCAATTTTTTTTTATTTATTTTTTTACTCAAACGTCTTACTTGGCTAAGTAGAAAATATGAATACCTGAAATGCTACATATAAAGCTAGAAATTACTTGAAATATTTCAATCCCGTCACTAAAAGAAACTTTTCAATGAAGAGTTCCGAGTCCAGGACAGCAATGTGAGCAGCTCGGCCTATGAGGGAGTTGGCAGTCGAGGGCAGAGCATGGTGGATGTCATACCTTACGAGGGTCACAGACGGAGAGCTGATGATTGGTTGAAGGAGGTTGGACACCATTTCGCGGTAAGCTGCACCTGTTATTTGGGGGGAGAGGATTAATGGGGTCAGCAGAACCAGGATATATGTGTGTGTGTGTGTGTGTGTGTGTGTGTGTGTGTGTGTGTGTGTGTGTGTGTGTGTGTGTGTGTGTGTGTGTGTGTGTGTGTGTGTGTGTGCGCGTGCGTGCGTGCGTGTGTGTGCTTACTTCCACCTAACTAACACATTGATCAACTAGACACCATTCTTTTAGAACATCACATCATATACAACTTCAGTGGGTACAGCAACAATCAAGATTCCTCTCAACTGCATTCTGCTCCCTGTTTCAAAAAGTCTGTTGGTTCTATAATGAATAAAATTCCAGTGAAGAGCACAAACAGATACCTTATCTATTTGTAGTGCCAAGTGCAACCAAAGGGAGAAAGGAAAACAAGAGAATTTAGCAAACAGAAAATACATAAATGAGAAAAAGAAGAAAAATAACAAGGAAAGAAGAGAGGTAATCAGATAAAGGAGGTAGAAAAATGAGCGCATAAAAAAGGGGTAGAAAAACATTAACAAGAAGACTGGACAGAAAGACAAAAAAAGTGTATAAAAAGGAAGAAGAAAGAAGAAAGCAATAGAAAGTAAGACAGTAAGAAAATTTGAAACAAAAAAGAAGGGGAGGCCCTAAAAGACAGAGAAAAAGAAAAAAAGAAAGGAAAAGAAAAGGAAAAAAAATCTCACCCATAACAGAAGTATCCTTGACAGCCTGACGACAGAGTTCAATCCTTGCAGAGTGTAGCGGAACATATCTGTCTTGCGACGAACCACAGAGTAACACATTGCGGAAGTGGTGGAGTTGGGAACGCTGGAAAAGGGTGAGAAATTTGGAATAGAAGCTATAAGCAAGTCAAAGGAAAAGTTATATGTTTAATAAATAATTAAACAAAATTATCTAGGTTCTCATATTGAGAAGCAGGGCACTGTTTGTAGTTATGTAAAAAAAAAATAATAATAATAATAATTCAAAATTTCTCAATCAAAATTTATCACATACTAAAACTGAAAACAGAGGTAGTTCTGCAAACAAATAAACAAAAAAACTTCAGCAAAAATAAGAACACTTTTCATTGTCAAAGATTAATTTCATTTAATGACAAATCATAACTCTTATCAGTCTTCAAAACAGCACACATTATGTGAACAGATAAAGAGTACACAGAAACTTATCCTTATCAAATGTAACACTTACCTGAGAGAGTCTATATAGGAATGTTTGGCGTATATCAACTCTGTCTTTGAGGGATAATTGTAGCAAAGACCCTGATTTCTTCCACTTCTGCATAAACCACATTCCTGGAGTGATGAAACACAAAACGTATTAACAGTAACTTGTAAAACATTAATCTATTACATTTTCAACATGTACACTTGATTACACTAACCATACAATCTCACTGTGTACACTGAACAACATCTGATATATTCTGATAATGTATTTTTTCTTTTTATCAAATTATCAAAAATAAAATAAAAAACTATGACAATGCCTATCATAACATAAAGAACCAAAGAAAAAGGACAAATATAGAGAACCAATTTCAACACTGAAAAAATCTTATGAAAAAAAAATGCAAGAAGCAATACAACAACGAGAAAAACACCCAACAATGAAAAACAAGAGCTATTGAATAAGAAGAAAAATACTAGAAGAAGAGGATCCCAACACTTACCCATGTTAACGAGGCCACTATTATTATAGAGAGTCCCTAGATGGGGTCCCGACAGAGAGAGAAAAGTGTGAAGCTTGGGCAGGAACGGCTTCATGTCCGGATGTGACACGGCCCCTCGGATGATAATGTTGCCTAGGGAATGACCCACAAAGGATATCCGCTTTGGGTTGAGGTTGTATGCCTCAATGTGGTACAGGATCTCAGAAACTAGACGTTCAGTCAGCGTTTCAAAGTTTGAAAAAGTGTCCCCCTGCAACACAGAACAGATGACAATAAAACAAAAATTATAATAATAATATAATAACAATAATCATCATTGTCATTATTACCATCATTATCAATAGTAAAACTAAACATTAAAAATATCTTTAAAAATTACAGAACAGACTATTTTATACTCTCTTAACTACTCACAAATTCAGTCATACAAACTCCCACAGAAAAAAACAGTTATAAAGCACCATTTCTAAGAAACAAATCTTACCTGATTTCGTTCCGACATGAGAAAATCTAGATTAGCTCCTGGAAGGCCTATTTCTAAATAAGTCTTGATAAGCCTAAGGTCAGCAGAGTTCCCATCTAAACCATGAACACAAATGATTAAGTGAAGACCATCTGGTGACAGCACTCGACAGTCATCACTCACATGGAAGTACGGTACAGTGGAGGCCAAGCCACTAAAATCACTGAAAAGATCAGAAAGAAATTATCAAATTACATACTTTGTCATCATATAAAGAGTATAATTCAAACCAACTGGAATTCAGATTAAATAAGCACTTTACTTCAGACACAAGTTATCCAGGTATCAAATATGATATAATCTTTATTATACCTATACAGAAGGCCCTGGAAGTTTATTTGCTGCATGAACTCTTCTTTTGCCTTGACGAATGCAAGAGTGTCGGCTACTGGTGGAACTAATTTCGGGGGTAGTAAGTCTGGTGGATCCTCTAGCCGGCCACGCTCCTTACGTAGTTCAGACGGGCACGTGCACTTTGGCTCCCCTCTGTCCCTGTAGAGTGTGGAGGTGAGAGATTTCTAGATTGTCATATATAACAGTAAACTCAAGACTAATTTAGTATATTCTATTTTGTTATTTATATCGGGTAAAATTCTATAAAAGAAGAAAAAATACCTTGGTGATGGAGGTCTTGGAGGCGGAGGAATGTCAGACATGCTGTCATCAAATGCATCATTCATAATATCTGGCTTGACTTTCATGTCAGAACCTCCCTTGGCCTGCTCCTCTGCCTTCCTGGCAACATCTTGCAGTTGAGCTTCTGCATTAACAGCAGCTTCCTTTTTAGCTGCATTCTGTGCTGCCTTCAGGAGTTCTCTTTGTGCTTCACGGTGAGCCCAAACACTTGCTCCTTGCTGTTCCAGGAAGAGTTCTAACAAGGTGCACTTACTGTCTGCCAAATGAGTTGGAGGTTCAGATTTGGTAGAAAAGGGGTCAGATCTTTTTTGTAACCTAGTTTCTCTTGCTTCGCGTAAGCTAGAGTGATCCTTAAAAGAGTCACTCTTATCAATGATAGGAGGAGGTGCAGACTGTGTCCTAACACGTTCTGTTCCATTAATATAATGTTGGTTGAGTTTTGTAGGTGTTGGTTCTGACAAACGGTCCGGTGTTCCTGCTGTTTTTCTGCTTGGTCCCCTCTTCTCCGGTCTACCAGTACCTGTTGTTGTCTGTTGGTTTCTTCTCCTCATTGAGGGCAAAGAATTGAATTTGTCATGTACATGACCTGATTTCCTAGAACTTCTCTTTACATCATTCAAAACTTCACTTACACTTTCATACACATGGCTAATGTCTTCAAGTTCAAACTCTCCGCTGTGTCTCGGTGTGATGGTTTTGGAACTGTTTCCATGACTTCTTTCAGTCTTGTGGTCATCATCTCTCTGAGCTCTGCCAGTTTCAGTCTTTGGGCTTTCACTCCTCGGTCTATCCTTATATGCTGTAATGGCAGCACGTTTGGCTCCTCTGTCCTCCCTGGGGATTCTTCCTGTAGTTGCAAACCCCCCACGTCTTAAAGCTTCCCTGAGAGCAGGTGATGGGTCCTGAAATTCCTTTGGGGGAGGTGGAAGCGGCACTTCCTCATACACATGAGATTCTGGTCGATTAGAATGGTTTACTCTCTGCAGCGACTGAGACTTTTTAACTTCCTTCCTGTGTGGGCTCTTTCTTTGTTTGACCTGTAACTGATCATTAGAGGCTGATCTCTGTGTAACCTCCTTGCCAGCAGCTTTGTGATTCTGTCCTCTGGACTCAGAACGACTCACTCTCTGGTTGGCTGGACTTCTTGACCCTTTGTTTTTGTACTTGACTCCAGTTATTGTCTTTACAGGTGCATCATTAACAGGTGTCTTGGCTGTAGGAGGTCCATTTGCCTTGCCTCCACTTGGTTTACTTCTGCTTGACTTAGACCCATTGACTTTTGTCCCATTTATTTTGACTCCATTAACGTTCCCTGTGTTGTTGTTTCTCGCACTGGAGTCTGGCCCACTAGATTTGCTTCCATTCTTATACTGGGTGGTGGAAGTTGCAGTGAGCATATCTTTTATAGGAAACTGTTTTATGTCTAAATCAGGACTGATCTGCCCACTTGATGAACCAGAACTTTGTCTACTAGAATTTGAGACCCAACCGCTACGCTCTGATGTGATATCACTATTGGAAGATGAATCTTGCTGGAGGATCAGAGGTTTTGGATTGTCTGGTGTTTTCTTTACTGGCGATGTCAACTTTTTGTTCAGTGTTATTGATTCTACTTTCTCTCCTCCAATCTGTAGTAACGTGGAATCTGTGGCAGAAACAAGGCCAACTTCAACATTAGAGAGAACAGGTGGTTTTCTGTCTAATCGCATAGGTCTTGGAGGTGGTGGTCCTTTGTGGTTGATTTCTGAAGAGGATTCTGTATCTGATGCCAAAAGATCTGGCATTGACTCTGTGATTCCAGGGGATGAGGCATTAGCCACTTCCCACAAGAAGGAAGGCATGGAAAGTGTGCTCTGTGAGTGCCTCATGGGTTGGTCCCCTCCACCACCACTACCACTCCCAGGAGTATGTGCCCCAAGGTTGTAAGGCATGCTTAGAGATGGTTCCAGACGGCGATACTTCAGGAGGACAACATTTTCGGCAATGGCATTAGCCTGGGAACGCTTGCTCTTGTGATTACTGGATCCACTGGAGCGCAGCTGCTGTGCACGCTGTATGAGCTTGACTTTAAACTTTGCTCTTTTGTAAGCAGACCCTTGATTAGCTGGAAGCCTCAGCTCTAACCGTAAGTTGTTCTTTAATTTCTCCTTCAAACTATTTCGTGCCATTGGAAGTTTGTGAGTTTTGGGGGGAATGGGAGGCTTGAAGTCCTTTGGCATTTTGTCTGTTCTTGGGGGGATTGGCGGCTTGTCCTCTGGCTCCGACTCTGCCTTGTTTGCAGATCCCTTGGAACCTTTGGACTCCTTTGAGCCTTTCGAGCCCTTGGAGCCCTTAGAGCCAAGCGTCTTTTCATCACTCTCAGACCCACTACCCAGAGTGTGTTTGCTGCTGCCACTGCCTCCACTGTGGACAGACGATACCCGGGAGTCGCTGCTTCGAGACCGACCTTCTCCCGGCTTTGCTTTCAAGGTATTCTGGGACTCTTTAGTATGAACATTTTCCTTGTCTATAACATAGCTTTGGATTGTTGTTTTGACACCCAGAGTCTGATTCTTGGTGGACTTTGTGGACCCGTATTTTGTCACCTTCGCGTCACTGCTTGTCGTAGCTCTGGACTCAAAACCACTCATACTAGCTGCCTTGGAGTCAAAAAGGGTGCTCGTCATAGGCTTCGTATCATGACCGGGGAGCGACTTGGTGTCGTGATTAATAGCCGACTTGACCTCCATCTTCGTCAGAACTGTAATGTGAGGTTCCACTTTTAGGCCATTGCGTGTCTGCGGTTCAGGTCTTGTTACATCAGGCGGTATCACCTCCCGCTTGCCATTCTCTGCATCTAATTGGTCCATGGCAATTTGTATGTCATTTGTGCTCAGGTAGTTTTCTGGGGGGTAGGAAAAAGTTGTTATCAATTCATATGCTGAGGAAACACTTTTTTATCTATACAGCATGATTATGAATAAAAGAGTAAGTTATAAAACACAGAGTTTTAATAAATTTATCTAAGAAGTGATCAGAGAACAATTGTGTGTGTGTGTGTGTGTGTGTGTGTGTGTGTGTGTGTGTGTGTGTGTGTGTGTGTGTGTGTGTGTGTGTGTGTGTGTGTGTGTGTGTGCGTGTGTGTGTGTGTGCTTAAAGAGAAAGGAAATGAACCAAAAGAAAGTAAAAATAATTCTCACCTGATTTTCTACTGACAATAGACCTCCTTCTCGCAAACTCTGCCACATGCTGATACTGGTCCTCAAATATTACTGGTAAAGTTGAGACTTCTCCATCCATCTGAAGAAAAGGAAACATGTTCTCTAAAAAAACAATTTTCATAGCTTACAAAGGAAATAAAACCTATATATATAGAAAAAAGCAGACACCACCTAATCAAGTTTTCATTTACATTTATGATATATATCATAATTTATCTAGATCTATGAATCTTCAGTAATTTGTGGAAATTTATCTTAAGAAATTTATGACATAAAAGGAAATAAAGAAAGTACATTTTAATTATTAAGTAGATATGTAAAAGCTTTTTATATCTTTAAAAGCATTCCTGATCTAGAGGACAAAAAAAAATTATCAACTGCTAACATACATCTAGACTCTAGTCTTTAGAATAAGTCAATTTCAATAATTGTTTGTTTTTACAGAATACAACAGTCTTTGAAACATGATACAAAAGGCATCTTTGTAAAAAATCTACCATCAAAACATAACTTCATACTAAAGTTAAATACAATATCATCCACTAAGAAATAAATACATTCATTTATCACTAGTAAATAAATATATTTAATATTCCATTTACCTCAGTACATTCAATAGAAAGAGGTGGCAGAGAATTGAAATAGCGAGATCTCCTGACAGCTTCAGACACCATGACATAATTCTGGTAGTTGCTATCGTAGCAACCACTTGCTGATGGCCGGGGGTTGTCAATGACGAAAAAAGCCTCAGCAAAACGTTTTACCTGTTGGGAAATACAGAATCATAAATTCACTGTTAAATACTATTCTTAGGATTATCGGTATCGGCAGGAAACTTGAAAAATATGGTTAAGGTCCTCCATCAGCTGTGTCCCAGAAGCATCCCTTCCTAAGGTCACTTACCCTTTGCATGTGATGTTGCCGTGCCAGGTGTTGCCGTACAGGTTCCGAGCTCATTACCACTGAGAGAAAGTGTTGCCACAGAAGGATATTTTCTGCACATAACTGTGCTATATCACTGTTGGCAGCCACCAGAAAGTCCTCCTCACAGTCCACAGCCTGCAGAGTGTATTCTAGTGTTAGGAACAATGCACTGGGGTTTTGTATGTATGAATATGCTTTATTGCTTTTGTGAAAGTCTAGAAATCACACATGCAAAATATATATATAATAGTAAAATATATATTAAATCCTAATCTCATTCTCATTTCTCTATGTTTTTTCTCTAGCTTATATTGTCTAAAAATAATTCTACACTCCACAAGCTTAAGTGCTGAGGAAATCTAGACCAAAGTAAAACATTTGGAAGAAAATGAGTGGGAAACCACATCCCCCTGCACTAAAAAACAACAACAAAACAATGAAAGAAAGAGAAGGATAAAAAGTAGATGAAATGAAAAAAAAGAAAAAAGAAAGGGAGAGGGAGAATGGAGATGAATTGAAAAGAGAAGAAAAGGAAAAGAAAAATAGAACAGAAAAAAGAGAGAAAAGGAAAAACAAAAGACTGAAAGGAAAGCAAAAAAAACTGTCCAGCTAAAAAGAAAGAACTATATATTACTTAGTAAGAACTGTAAATCACTAATCCCTTGCAAAGAACAACAATATAATCAATAAAAAATGAAAACTAAAAGCTATAATAGACAAACTATAAAAATAACGCTAAATATCATGCACAGAGATAGATGCGCAATGACAGACTATAGCATAATCATTTACCCTTGTCCTGTCATTACTGCGACGGTCAAAACGCGGTGTTTGTCCCCCAATAAGGGCGAAGTAACACTCCTGAGTGCATGTGTGGGTGAAAATCTATGATGACATACATGTATCTATGCAGTAAGTCTCACAAGAGTGTTAGCAAGCTTACCAGCTAAATGTTAATACAAACTACTGAACTGTATATGCATTCATTCATATAGCAATTTTTGTTAATAATAAAAACACATTCCATAAGTCCTTGTAATTAAAAAAAAAAAAAAAAAAAAATCTTAGCAAGTTATCTAATCAATATCTGCTATCAGATCAACAGAAATTGTCTTAAAATAAACATGAAAAGAACAAACAGTCCTCTATGGTGATTTTCTGAAATATCAAAGGAAAGACTAAGTATGGAAAGTGAATTATACCACCTTCATAAATAGAAAAACTTAGTCTGCCTATGTAATTCGCATTACTGCTATAAATATTTATCAGCAGTTGCGTCTAAAACAGGATTGATCTGATCATAACTTTATTTTCAGGTCCAGTCTTTGGCACAGGCCATGCGAGTGGTCACCTAGGGCGACGTCATCTGAAGGAGGGTGTCTGTGGACCATGGCAGTGTTGGTTGGTTGGGGGGGGGGGGGGGGGGGCATCAAACCCTAAGCTTGGCTAAAACACCAAATTGGTTGGGGCTGATGACAGCTTGATTTGTGGAACTTCCAGCCATAGATATATATTTACAGATTTACAAAACTATCACAATTTTTATAAAGCAGAAAAAATGACTTTCTTTTAAGATCAAGATAAACTTTACTAAATCTGATGAAGACTTATACAATTTTATTTATTGCAAAAATGGTCAATACAAAACATCACATGGTAATTGTTTCAAACACAGTCAAACATTATGAAAGAGAAGAGGAAGAAAAAGAGGAAAAACAGAAGAAACTCACCTTTGCAACATCTGACAAATTATCCACCTTTAGCCTCGTCGGCTGGGGTGTGGGTGGGGTGGAAGTGGTGGAAGTGGTGTTGGTAGCATTGGCACTGGTGGCCCATGGTGGCAGTATGGACATGATGGTTTCCAGCTCGGCTGCTAGTGCAGTATGGGCCGCCAACAGGAGTGTGCAGATGGTGCGGTGCGTGGCTCGGGCCTGCGCCAGACGCCACGACGCACTGCTGCTGCCTCCCCCACCGCCACATTTGATTGTACTATTCTGTGGGGGGGGGAGGGGACAGTTATGTAAATGTGATGATTAGGTCATACTGATAGTACAATATCAAGATACAGGTTACTATAACCATGAATGGATATAATACATGTACATATATCATATCATATTTAATTCATAGTTATATGACACAACTATGCAAATTTTGACCTTTATATACTATATATATACACACACACACATGAGGAAATAATTTATGAATTCCTCAGATATTATCTAAAGCATGAAAGCTATTAAAGCCTATCACTTTTTATTCTATTTACAGCATGGAGGCTTTAGTTTCTACCACAATAACCAGCGAATTAAAGAAAGCTTTCTTCCATGAAAAACTTGTGTATCATTTTCATCAATTATTTAATTTGTATCTTGATCCTAAATGGTACCATATTCTGCCAATGACAGTGCTATTAACAGTTGTGGTTTTAATACTTCATTATTTTTTTTCTTGCAATCAATTTCAGTATCAGAGCTTTACTTTACAGTATGGTAAACACACAAATTTTAATTCCCTCTGAAATAAGTTGTGAATAATCTTGAGATTCCAAAATGTGGTTTAAGCTTGAAAAATATGTTCAGCTTTGAGCTCTATAATTTTCATCTTCTGTTTCCATCCATCTATCGAAGTTCTGTGCCTGAATTATGACATTTCCCATCGCATTCTTTCTAAATTCCTCATAATAACATTTTTCACATATAAATATCAAGACACATCATAGAGCTTAGTAAAAAAAAATATATATTAACAATAATAATCAATGATATTTAAGCATTTACATTCCTAGACTATTAGAATTTAACAAAGTAACTATTTAAGTAATATGTAAAGCTGTTTATGTACCAGCAAATATCCAAGTGTCATTTTCCTCTGAAGAAAAATATCAGACTATGTACATAAATTACACATTTTAACACTAATTCCTGCTACAAAAAGGGTTCTTGTACCTAAAGTGAACTAATACTAGAGGTAAATATTGTTAAGGAACCTCTGCATAGTTATCTGAAGAGTTTAGCAGGGGGCATTCTTAAAACAAAGATTTTGCTAAAATCAGGACTGAATTTTAACCCACTGGGATGTACTGTTCATTGTGGTTTCAATTTGTAAATTTTGTTTACATAAAAGTTAATTATAGGCTCTTCATGACCTCAATTGCTGAATTATGGGGATTTTTTATAATGCTGTTGATACTGACAGTTATCATTATTATTGACTTTATGGTTATCATGATGTTATAAAAATACCAATAGCAATAAAAATAAAACAGAATCAGGGTAAAGATTAAACAGATGAGATAGGTCGGACTAGTAATTGACTTCTTGGTGACTAACCTCTTGTGAAGCCATCTATGTGTAAACAAAATTAACAAACTAAAATCACAGTGGACATGGCATGTATGTATATGCCATCAAAGTGTCAATGGATTAAAGGAAGATTAGACCAAACAGAGTCAAGGAATGGCTACTATACATGACTACCATACAAAGAGGAAAATGAGAAACAAAGAAAAAAGAAGAGAGAGAGAGAGAGAGAGAGAGAGAGAGAGAGAGAGAGAGAGAGAGAGAGAGAGAGAGAGAGAGAGAGAGAGAGAGAGAGAGAGAGAGGAAGAGGAAGAGGGAGAGGGAGAGGGAGAGTGAGAGGGAGAGAGAGAGGAGAGAGGAGAGAGGAGAGAGGAGAGAGGAGAGAGGGAGAGAGGGAGAGAGGAGAGAGAGAGAGAGAGTGAGAGAGAGAGAGAGAGAGAGAGAGAGAGAGAGAGAGAGAGACAAGAGAGAGAGAGAGAGACAAAGAGAGAGAGAGCAGACTAAGAGAGAGAGAGAGAGAGGAGAGAGAGAGAGAGAGAGAGAGAGAGAGAGAGAGAGTGAGAGTGAGAGAGAGAGAGAGAGAGAGAGAGAGAGAGAGACAAAGAGAGAGAGAGAGACAAAGAGAGAGAGAGAGACAGAGAGGGGGGAAGTTGAAAGTCATTTCTTCAAATGCTTCCAAGCAACCCTGGGTACAAATCTGGGCAAAGATTCCTCGTCAAAATCTACCTTGCAAGGCCCACAGACCATGAGGCTTGACTAAGGGTACTCCACTAAACAAGTGATACAGAACCACATACTCTCCTCCACAGTAACCCCAGCCTGGCCCTGCCTGGTGTAGCAGCCAGTCCAGGTAAATATGGTACCATTTGTAGACCATTCCATAAACGAGAGTTCTTGCACACAAAACGAATCTGACGTAATAGTGAAGTTTAAGATGCCAAGGCCATGTCCATGGCTCACACAAAACTACTTCCTACAAAGACTTGTAACTTCCTATCCATTAGATAATTTGGCATTTTAAATTTTCTTTCTAAATCTTCAAAAGAAAAAATCTATAGGAATTCTATATCTTATACATATATAAATATGCACAAAGTGTTTCATAGGAAACTCATCAAGCAAAAGATCATAAGTCAGTCTTATATATCATCACACAAGTTACATGACTCAGGAGAGGGAAAAAATATATATAGTCACATAATTGATTGGAAAATTGTGATGATTATAACCTCCTTTTCAGACCTTAAACTACTACAAGACACAATATTTAGTCACATAAATACCACAAGAGAGTTTATAAGGCATCTACTTCCTAGAGAGTTAACATAATTAAGTATGGCACTCCACTCTAGAGAGAAAGATGTCACATAGTTACCAATGCTAATGCATATCAACAGAATGATGAGATTCAGTCACTGCTATACAAATGATGGTAAAACTGTCAGTCTTCATTCAATAAATTTGATTACATGTGATGGAACAAACCAATATGCAATGTACAGGAGTCTGTTGAAAGTTAACTACAAGCAAGAAAGTTGTCAATTCATTATCAGAACTTGCACTTCAATAAAAAGATAATTATTTCAGTGAAAAGATAATCATTTGGTATGAACTTATTACTGATTGAATGACCCCCGCTGAAAATTAAAATTCACATAGAACAATGAAATCTTCACAAAGAATAAATACTACA